CAGGAGGGAAGGAGGGATGAAGACCATCTCTTTTCAACAGGTCAGGTCTGCCCCAAAAACTCATCCAATTTTCTATGAATATTTGTGTCTTTGTGTCATGTGACATAAAAGACACTGAATGGGAGTTCAGGGTTTTCATCTTGAAGTTTTGCTTAAAATAAATATATACTAAAAGCAAACAAACAATGTACATGAATGTATGAACAGAAAACGAAGTAAACTAGTAATTTCAAGGTTTTAGTTGTCTTTCCTTGCCATGTACAAATAATTTTTTCAGTTATTTTCTGCAGTGTTTTAGCAAAAGTATCAAACTATTTTGCTCATGGTGTTATGGTGTCATGGTGTATATCTTTGAATATTCATTAGGCTTGTTTGAGATGCGGCTCGCCTCGCCTGAAATGAAGGCGAGAGTAGGCGGCTGCAGTGAGGGGAGGAGTGAAGTAAGCGCAGGCAAGACGGACAGTTCTGACCTCACGAAGTGGAACAGATACCTACGAGATTAAAGACAGATATCGTGTTATTCTCACTCATGTGCTGTGTTGCTAATAAACATGATATAATTTCAGTTCTGTTGCTTTTATATGAAAATAAATATGATGAACAAGATACTCAAAGTGCTTGATATTTAATTCCATACAAAAGTTGTATTTGTCATCCATTTTTACTTTAATACAAACATGTATTTTAGATTTTTATAGAAATATGATCATGCTTTTGATCAGCGCAGTCGGTGCTGCACAATCTGACACAGCCGCCTCGCCGTCGCGAGAGTTTTTTGGCACACGTCAGCATGACATCAGAGCAAGTCGGACGTAACTCGGACACTTTTCTAACTGGCATGCATCTCGTGGGGATCACCGGTGATCGGTTCTGCACAGATTTTGCTCATCTCAAACAAGCCTTATTATGGTGAATGACGTCAAGTTGACCATTCCAAAATGGCAGACGTGTCAACGTATCTGGAGGGGTCGAATAGGACATCTATACATATCTATGGGTATTACCCCCTGCATATTTTATTTGTGCGTGACATGATTTACGTGTTTTCTCCAGGTCATGCTTACCAGGTTGTGCATAAAGGCCGAAATGTGCCCAGATGTCGGCTTTTAAAGTAGTTGGAGCATTTTTAATTACTCGCTTGCGATATGTGCTCAAACACAAGACAAACAGATAGGCCTACACGAAACAAAGACAAAATGGATCAGACTGCCAATGCTAGTTATGTAGTACATTTTCTTTATCTCTGCATCTAAATAGGAAAGGTATCAGTTTTCATGTGCAGATTTTTGATTGTCTTTTTTTACTGCAATCAAAGATGTGATTTAGCACTGAGAGCTGAGTAGCATTAATCATAGTGGGTTTTTAAGGGTGCATACTGATATGTAGAGAACAATGTAATATAAATAAACACTTTCTTCCCCCCCCCCTTTTTCAGAAAAGGTGACAATGAGGACTGAGACAGGGCCTGGGACTGAGGTGCCACCCCAACATAAGGGTACTGAAGTTACCATTACAGAGTCAGCTTCAGATGGTAAAATGGCGAAAGAGGTAGGGAATTGTTTTAAATGTCCAACTAATATTTTTCGACATAAAGCCAAAAATGTTTAATTCATAATTTTCAGTCACGTGACTGGCTCGAAGACCTGGTGGGCAAAACATCCATAGAACTGCAGCACAAGCCTGTCAATTTTATATCTATGCAATGCGCTAAATGGTTAAGCGATTTCTTTATAATGGTTTTCTATGGGGAAACAATTCATATTAAACTTTGCGCATTGCATTTATATTCTGGGTTCATCTGCTTGCCTGTACAAAGTATGCATCATCAATAAGGTGTATACTGAATTTGGCCTTTAAATATCACTGTCTTACTACATTACTACTTAATAAAAACCTTGTAAAAATAACAGGCGGTCGGTCAGTGGAGGAAAGCCTTGTTTTGCCCTCCAAGGGGGGGTTCCTGTAAGGATGTGACGTCGCGTGAAAACTATGAATTGGTGTAACTTTCCAGCGATAGTAGCAAGTCTCATTAAAGTTCAAATTTATTTATTTATTTATTTTTGACAACTTGTCCACCAAATCAAAGTTAGTGTAGTACAACCAACATGCAGGAAGCCATTTGACAAGAAAACCACAAGACAGATGGCATGAGAAAGAGGATCCATTCCATGACTGTCTAACTGAAAAGAAAGAAAGAAAGAAAATATTTTGGTGATTAACAGTTGTGAAAAATTATAATGTAATATAAACCGATACAATGTAATATAAACTGATAATATAAACTGATTATAGGATATCAAGCCTCATGACGATTCTAAAGATGTACAAGATGCATCACACAGAACAACATCTGACAAGAGCCCAAGATCCCCTCAGAAAGGCTCCAAACGTTCCAAGACTGTTCCCTTTAAAGTCACACTTTTGGATAGATCTATTTATGAAGAAAACATTGAGGTAAGTGAAGAGATGTTTCAGTGGTGTCCACATGGCAATTGTCTTTATGCCTCATGTGAAGCACTAAGAACACTTTAATAAACTCATAAATCAACTGTTTTTTTCCACGGACTGTAGGCTTTGACATACAGTACCTGGAAACCTTTCTAAATTAAACTACCATAGGTTATTATAAAAATACATTTCCCTCACAGTCATGTTTTAGTATGTACAAACTCCATTTCCAAAAAGAAAAAAAAAACTCAAAAAACACTTTGGAAAATGCAATAAAAAACAAGAATCTTAGATTTTGAACCTTTCTCTCTATTCTTTTGAACCTTTATTTAACTGACAAAAGAACAAAAAGTACATATTTACAATGTTTCCACTGAACAAAGTAATTGTGCTTTGTAAATATGAACACATTTTGAGTCTGTCTTCAACACACTCAAAAAAGTTAACACTAAAGAATACTTAACTAGACACAGGAACAAAACAACACACAAAAAAACAACTAAAACATGCAGAACTAGCTTAACAATACACTAAAAAATATTAGTGATCTTCGGTTCTTGAACGAATCGTTCTTTTGAGCCGGTTCACATAATCTAACTGAATCGAACTTTAGTTCCGGGTTGATGACGCAGGACGCACAGCCAAAGTAGCACATCCAACTCAAAAAGAACCGATTGAGCCATTTCAACCAACTGTCGAAGTTTGCAGAGAATTACTGAGGACTCAACAAGAACCGAATGAGCCGTGGCGAAGTTTGCAGAGGATTACCGAAGATTCTGATGAGTGAGTTGACGATACTGTGCAAGCCTGAGGCGTGTACTGGAAATATGCTTATCATGAGTGTTATTCATTTACATTTTATTAAAACCTGCAAAAACCTTTCTGTCGAGTGATGTAAATACATTTTACAATAGTTTTCTTCAAGAATCGGCTAAAAACACATCTCTTACATCTTTATTTGATCCTCTAACTCTATCACTCTCTATTCTAATTCTATTCTTTAAAAAAAACACTTGTCCCTTTTAGACTTGCACTCTATTCATTTGCTGATTGTTTTCTTTAAAAAACAAACTAACACTTCCTTTCTAATCTTTTTGTATTCTATCTGTTTTCTTTTAAGTTATTATACAATTAACAAACGCAAAAAAGACCTCTAACACTAGCTTGCTCTATTCTTTTTCTATTCTATCTGTTTTCTTTTTATTTATTATTAAAAAAAACCTTGCTACGTGTAATGCATTAAGCTAACTGACACTTCATTCTTTATACTGTAGACATGTAGAACATATCCATGTTTGTGCATCAATGTCTGTAATGTGTGCTGTAGGTGTGAAACTTTTAGGAATCTTATCCAAGTTGTAGGCTTGTCAATATTGGTCAGTCAGTCGTATCTGACATAAAGGATCCGCGAATGAAACTGTGACCACAAACACCATTAACTTAAGTTAATTATATGGCAATAATCAGCAATATGCTTTCACACAAATAACTTTATTTTTTGAATGTTTCAATATGTGTTGACACAAATTACTTATTTCAATTTTTCATTGATACAACATGGCACTGAGTTGTTAGAAAAGAAATGTGTAGAGACGTTATTGCTTGATGACGTCAGGAACCGATGAATTGGCTTTTTGAACCGGTTCAATGAGCCGATCTGTCCGAAAAGAACCGGTTCGCAGAAATGAATCAGACTTTGCATCACTACAAACTATTGCGACAAGGGAGAGCACAGTATATAGTCAGATGAACTAGCAAAATGCACATGGCAAACACTAACAAAGACAAGACGGACAGAGAAACATTAAACAATGACAGACAGAACTAGCTGTCAGGGGAGAGACCTGACAACTATACAGAAATGTATTAAAGTCATCAAAAGTACAAAATAAAACGGTTATACTTTACTTGAAGGGGTGTGCATAAGACTGACATGACACCTTAATAATCAAGACATGACACATGTCATGAATATGAAGGTTTTTTTATGCATGTTTATGACAACTGTCAATAAGTGTCATTCGCTCAGTTATGTCATTTTTAATGCAAAGATGACATTGTTTGAGATGTCTTTGTTATGGGCTATGGTTAGGGGTAAGGGTAGGGGTAGGGTTAGGTTAAGGTTAGGTCAAATAATGTCATATTTGCATTAAAAATGACATAACTGAGCGAATTACACTTAATGACAGTTGTCATAAACATGCATAAAA